AAAAAAGAGAGACTGAAAGATTAAAGGAAAGAAGTGTGTATTTAGTTCATCAAAGGAATGAAAATATCCAATTGTTGAGATGAAATGTTGGAAGAGGAAAAGTTGTAAATAATATCCTGCTTTCCTGAGAAATCCAACATGAGACCTGCTTTATCATGTGCCACCACCTCAGGTCTAAATAAATTAAAAGATATTTTAAAAGCTGGTTTACAATCATTAAAACAAGATATCTGAGCTCATCACTTTTTAATTGTTACTTGACGCAGATACAGAGCATCTGCTGCAGTTAAGTTTATTCTCTTTAAGTTTAGATTTTTTTTTACTTTTTTACCCATCTCTGCGTGTATTTATCATTTTGCACAAAACAAACCTCAATGTYGTGTTTTGTTTGTTTTTATCACGTGGATGGATGTCATCAGCTCAAACCCTCAGACCTGAACGACTCATCCTCGATGGATTCAACTTTTTAACTGGTTTACCTTTTGATTGAGCTTTTATTTTGAAGGTACAGGTTTATCTAAATGTTACTTTTAATGTGGACTTGGGGCATTTTGACACGATTGTTTGAGTTGTGGAGAAAAGAAAACATTAGAATAAATGAGGTTTCAAAGTGATGGACATTTTTATTTTTAATATTTTTTTAAATTTAGGGAAACATTTCATGGGAATTATGGGAATATATCTGTAGGGTTTGTCTGATTTTTGCTTTTTAAGTAAAATGCTAAATTTGCATCCATTTTCATGATTGTTGTACCAGTTCAGAAGGGAAAAAAAACAACATAAATAAGGTTTCAAATGGACAGAAAAGTTCTGGTAAAAGATTTCTGCAAATTTCCAGAAACTTTTCACAGAAAGTTAAGCTGAAGAATTTCGGAAATCTTCCAAAATGGGATTTTTTTGGTGAATTTCTTGGAATTAACTAGAAATTGGGAGTCACTTAAACATCCATATYCAAACAAAAATTCTAAACATTTAGTTTTGTCARGCAGATAATGTCTCAGGTAAATAACACATAAGTTTATGATCATAACAAAATCAGTGGCCTAATTAAAAATATTCCTGCAATAAATAAAGTTCAAGTTTATTCTCATAAATTCCTGGTAATTCCTGTGGTGGTTTCCAATGTAAAAATGTCTCAATTTTTGCCACCCTACAAAAAGGCAAACAGCAGAATTACTTACTGAATGTATGCGTTTTATTGCGCTAAGTAAATGTCTGTCACTATTTATAAATTTTCACCATAAAAAATTCACAGAATTCAAACGCTGGTTTAATTTTTAAAAAAGTCTGGGTGTTGATTTATTGTAAGGACTTGTTGCTGAGAGCTGAAGTTTCTTGAAATTGTTTCTTTTTACTTTGAAGCTGTTTTTTGTATCAGCCTTTTGAATGTTGGGAGTTTAATGAAGAAAATCAGAGTTCAGTAAGTGATAGAAGGAAGTAAAGAAAAGTGCTTTTAATGTTTGCAGCAAATAATGTACAGTCTTATCTGTGTATAACCTTTATATCTGTGTCTACTGTTCATCACACAACATGTAGCTGGGTGGAAACAAGTCTACGAAACTCTTATCTGTAGCTGAAGAATCTTTGCAACACACTTTTGTTTTCTATCCTTGTGGGGACTTTGCATTGACTTCATTTGTTTTCAGTAATTTCTACAGCCTTACCCTGACCCCTAACACTACCACTAACCACCCCGGTACATACTTGACCCTTAGCCTAACCACCCCGGTACATACTTGACCCTTAGCCTAACCACCCAGGTACATACTTGACCCTTAGCCTAACCACCCCGGTACATACTTGACCCTAAGCCTAACCACCCCGGTACATACTTGACCCTAAGCCTAACCACCCCAGTACATACCTGACCCTAAGCCTAACCACCCCGGTACATACCTGACCCTAAGCCTAACCACCCCGGTACGTACTTGACCCTAAGCCTTACCACCCCGGTACGTACTTGACCCTAAGCCTAACCACCCCGGTACGTACTTGACCCTAAGCATAACCACCCCGGTACATACCTGACCCTAAGCCTAACCACCCCAGTGCATACCTGACCCTAAGCCTAACCACCCCGGTACATACTTGACCCTAAACCTAACCACCCCAGTATATACTTGACCCTAAACCTAACCACCCCAGTACATACTTGACCCTAAGCCTAACCACCCCAGTACATACTTGACCCTAAGCCTAACCACCCCGGTACGTACTTGACCCTAAGCCTAACCACCCCGGTACATACTTGACCCTAAGCCTAACCACCCCGGTACGTACTTGACCCTAAGCCTAACCACCCCGGTACGTACTTGACCCTAAGCCTAACCACCCCGGTACG